GCCGGCTCCAAGTAGAAGGCGGCGGCGGGGGCGAAGCCGGTCCTTCCCCGCCCGCCTGCCCTGCCCGCCTGCTCCGAGGAGGAGGCGGCGGCGGCGAAGCCGGTCCTTTCTTCCCCCCCCGCCTCCGAGGAGGAGGCGGCGGAGGCGGCGCGGCCAGCTACAGAGTGTTCCCTGCGCATGCGCAGGGGACGCTCTGTCACTTTCGGGGGGATTTAAACATCCCCCCGAAATTTTTTTCAACTTTTTTTATTTTTGTGCACACGTGGGGACTGGCCCACGTGTGCACAAACCTCCCCCGGCCCCCCAGCTGCCCCCGGAGCGCTGTTTTAGCGATCCGCACTCCGGGGGCAACTTCGCTATTAGATATATAGATAAATGCATCAAAATCTTTCTGCCATGTCTTTATTTGGCAATCTGTAATAGAACATGGAATCGTTCTGAAAAAATACAAATATTTTGGCAGCATAAAAGACCGGATTATGCTAATTCGGTCCATCCAGGAAAACATTTTTGTGGACCATGTACACAGCTGAGTTTTAGTAGTTTTATGAAGATCCGAGAAGTTGGTCTGTATAATATCTACATTGCCAATCGGAATTTTAATGCCCAAATACTGTTTCGCCCATTGGTAGGAAAAACGCAGTTCAATATTTTGCTTTGTTGGAGTATTTAATCGAATAGGGTAGATTAGAGATTTGGTCTGATTTACAATCAGCCCTGCAACCAAGCCAAAACTGTCTATGACTTCCTTATGCCAAGTCTTTCTTCAACAAAAAGACTTCCTTCACAAAAAAAGTCTTTCTCCATCAGAGGAAAGCTTTGCAGAAGAGAGTCATAGGATCCACCCACATGGATACAAAAGACTGGCCAGTTTTGTTACTGCAGGCACAGTTATAACACAGGGGTGTATAAAGGCGGGCCGGTCTCATATGTAGGCTTTTAATCTCCCACTAGCAACATCAGTGCCTCCTTCTCCCTACACATTTTCCCCAAAGGCCATCTGTAGCAGCAGCCCACAAGGCATAGTGGTCTGTCACTGGGAGAAAATTTTGTTCTTTTGCAAAGAGCAAGCAGAATTGCATCAGGGAGAGCATCTGGACCTCACCCAAGGTGTTGCATTTGCATAGCTTGACCTTGCCTCCTGCAGGACTGATGGGAAGAAGGAGCTGTTCACACCCACCTGTGATATCATGCAATATTTTAATGGAAATTAAAAGGCAGATCACTTCCTACACAAAGGCATTTTTGGCTTCATGTGAGTTTTGCAACATCTGTCCATAGACATAATAACATAAAAAGAACCCTGCTTGATCAGACCAGTGGTCCATGTAGTCCAGCATCCTGTCTAACACAGACGCCAAACAGTTGCATGGGACAGCCAACAAACAGGGCACAGATACCTCAGGCCTTCCCCTGCTGTTGCCTCCCAGTACTGGTATTCAGAGGCTTTCCGCCTCTGGAGATTCCATTCAGTCACCACTACTAGTAGCCACTGAATGAATTTCTCACCCCTTTTTAAAGTCATCTGTGCTTGTGGTCCTCACTATACCCTTTGGCAGTGAATTCCACGTTTTAATCACTTTTTGAGTAAAGAAGTACCTCTTTTTGTCCACCCTGAATCTACTGCCACCAATTTCTTATATTTTGGGACAGGGAGAAAAAGTGCTCTCTATCTGCTCTCTCTGCCTCATGCATAATTTTATACACTTTTCACATCTCCCCTGCTTGGTCATCTTTTTTCTAAACTGAGAAGTTATAGGAAGTTATAGGAAAAGTGCTCTAACCCTTCAATCATCTTGGTTGATTACGATAACTACCTCCCGGTCAACTGATCAGGATCCCCAACCTTACAACCAGGAACTATCATGTGCCTTTGAAACACATTTGGTGCACCCAAGCATCCACACACCATCATATACAGAAATGCAAAGGCTTGTAAAAATCTGAAAAACAAAACAAATCCCATCCATTTCTGATGCCAACCCCACCCCAGCATGGGAAAATTGGACATTTTGGGAGGACTGGGGGAAAAAATAGTATGAAATATTTTTTGTTTCAGAATAAACAAAATGCTTTTTAAAGACATGTTTTTTATTAATAGAAAATGAGTTCTATGGAATTTTTTATGTACAAGAATCAACAGAATTAGAGAATCTTAAATCTTGTGTATACATAAATAGCAGATCTAAGATGAATTCTTGCATCTAGACTAGAGAATTCTGCCTCTTTGTGAGAGAAGCATAGGGCCCCCTTTTTTTGCTTTGGGGACTGCCCAACTTTTTTTGCTTTGGGGACTGCCCTCAGGCGATCTATAAAACTAAGATATGTGTGTGTATGTAGTATATCTTACAGCAATTTGGGGTACTTCCTCTAATATTAGGTAAATTTGCAGTTTTGTTTGTAGAAAATGAAGGCATTTATACTTTTACATTTCAAAAATATGCCAAATAGTACAACTACACATGCTAAAATGATCAACCGTGAGTTTTAGGTTGTTAAAGCAATAACAGAAGTTTAAGTTTGATGCAAAACTAAGTATTGCATATATTTCATTCCTCCCACAATAAAACATTTTTACTTTAACCCATGGCTTCAGCAGTTCTGGAAAACATTACATCTCTAATTAAGAGGACAATAAATAAAAATAGAAAGAAATCAATACCCCGTCAATCTATTTCGAATTATTTTGACGCTCAGAACCAGCTCCCCCATAGTGGCAAAGGCTCTTGAAATGAAGTTCTCATCCATATATGGCTCCAGCTAAAGAAAAAAATAAATAAATGAGATAAGAAAAGATAACAGAGCAAAGTAAGGAAATTTGTACCATTAAACGTAGTTAGTGGCACTAAACATTCAGGGACCAGGGTCTAAAAAGGCACACATTTGTACACCTGTTGAACTCTGCCAAAGTTTGACTCTTTGAAGATGATTGGAAAGACAGGGCAGAAAAGCTGGATGAACTACAGAGGTTCAGCGCTCCCAAGCACTGCAAACTTTGGCTGCAGGGGTAAGCAGAAAAAAAGAATACGAAATAGCAGTGGAAAGCATGAGGGATTTCTGTGGTTTCTGGCAAAACCAGAATTTGCATGTTACAGCAATAAATTACTGGGTATTATGGCCAATTTTTATTATTATGGGTATTATGCGGTGGCTCAAGTGGTTAAGACGCTGAACTGCAGGCTGTGGAAGGTCGGTAGTTCAGCAGTTCGAGACCCAGGTGCCGCATGACGGAGTGAGCTCCCGTCTCTAGTTCCAGCTCCTGCCAACCTAGCAGTTTGAAAGCAAGAAATTGCAATTAGATAAATAGGTAGCACTTCGGTGGGAGGGAACAACGTTCCGTGCACCTTGGTGTTTAGTCATGCCGGCCACATGACCTCCGAAACGTCTTCAGACAGCGCTGGCTCTTTGGCTTTGAAACGGAGATGAGCACCACAACCCTAGAGTCAGATTCGACTGGCTTTCAAGCAAGGGAACCTTTACCTTTACTATTATGGCCAACAGTGAAATCTTATCCAAAGCTACTCCAATCTAAGCCTACTGAAACCTACTGTATATAGGATATGGCTCACCTCTGTTTTGCCTTCACAACAAGCTTGAAAGCTAGGCCAGGATGAACCAGAACAAGTGGCCCAATATTACTCAGTGATGTTCATGGCTGAGTGGGAGTTTGAACCCAAATCTCACAAATCCTAGTCCAACATCCTGACTATTAGGCAACACCAGCTTTCTTGGCCCATATAAAAGCTCCATTAAGTACAGCACCCTTTCTCCACACCCTAGCCAAGCAGATTCTTCCAGGAAGTTCACAATGGAGAGTAATTCCAGATGTGCCACTGTGTTAGTCTGCAGCACCAGAAACAAACACAAGGCCAGGGGCAATTTAAAATTCCAGCATGAACTTTCACAAGTTAGCACTCACTTTTTTAGGTGTATGAGTACACTCATAGCATATTTCTACTAGTCAACAGCAAAGTGGAAGCAGAGGAGATGCTAAGAGGCCAGTTCAAAACAATAACCAACAGGCACATCTGACAATAAGAGCTCTGTCTCACAAAAGCTATTGCTAACATAACTTTTGCTAGTCGACAGGGGGAAAAGAATCACGTAGGTGAGACGGGAAGGGATAAAAATCAACACAGGGCAGGAAGGCAACAGGTCTCCCCAACCGAACGCACGACAACACCGAGCACTCAGAAGACAGGCTGCCTCTGCACATGGTGGCTCCACACCCTCCCTCTTAACTCATAGTATCAAACTACGCTCAACAAGCCCTCCTTCTGAAGCCATCTTGTGGCAGGGAATTCCGCCAGCCAACCAACTCTGCTTCTCCTGCGAGGAGGTCGAAAGGGAAAGAACGAGCGCTGCCCCCAACCGGCCCCCTCCATCCCAGGGCAAAAAGACCCGGATGTTACCAGGCTCTGCCCAGCCGCGTGTGTATACGTGTGTGTGTGTGTGGGGGGGGGGGGTCCCCTATCACCGCCTCCCCCGTCTACCACACTCACGTCGCCCATCCACAGGCTGGCGGCCATGCTGCTCCCGCGGCCCAGGACGGCGGAGGGAGGGAGGGAAGGAGAGGGGCGACGGGGAGGGCTCCCTGCTCAGCCCCGCCGCCGCCTCTTCCGCCTCGTCCTCACGGGGTTATCCAGCGCCGCGACCCGCTTTGGCTGCCCTCCGGCGCTCACTCCCTTCGGAGGCAGCCGCTTCCCCGCCACCACCGCCGGACACAGGGAGGGAGGGAGGGAAGGAGAAGGTAACCTCGGCTAGAGGTAGGAGTCTACGGCGCCCACAGCGACCCTGGCCGGTGGGGAGGAGCCATGGCAGCCTGAAGGAAAATGTTGGGCCGGGGAGCATAACGGCGGGAAAAGGACAAACCGCTGGAGGAAGAAAGCAAAGTTTCAGACAGTGCTGTGGCGCCTTTAAGACCAACAAAGTTTACTTATGGGTATAAGGTTTTGTGTGCACGCGCATTTCTTCCTGACGAAAGAGAAAGAAAGGAAATTGACAGAAAGGGAGGAAAAGAAATGATAGAAGGCAGGAAACAAAAGGACAGAAGAAAAGAAGGGGGTGGGGGAAGAAAGAATGTCAGAAGGAAGAAAAGGGCTGAAGAAAAAAATGACAAAGCGAACAAAAAAGAAAAACGACAAAGATAAAAGAAGAAAAATGGACAGAAAATAGAAGGATGGAAGAAAAGCAGTCAATAAAAAGGGCAGAAGGAAGGGAAGCAAAGGGCAGAAAAAAGAAATATGACAAGGAACAAAAAAGAAAAAACGACAGAAGAGAAAGAAAGGGAGAAGAATTGGCAGGAGGAAAGAAAAGGCAGATGGGAGGAAGAAAGAAGAAGAAAAAACGAAAGTTGACAGAAGGAGCAAAAAAAGATTCACAAGTGCACTGGAATGAGGTGGTGGATGTTGAAGTGATAGAATGGACTGCACCACTTGAGATTTCAGGACAGGGTTTACATATTTTTCAGTGATTTCCTCCCAAACACCACACACAGAAACGAATAATTCTCTGTAACTCAAAATCTAATCCACCATGCAAAAGGCTAAGATAGAATGAGTCTCCAGAATGTGATGTTTTTAGGGAGCATGAACCATATGACCCCTCCACCTGCAGTCTGACATGGTACAGGGCATTCCACTGTTAAGTCAGTCGCTCGTAGTCGAAGAGTGATTCAGCAAAGATTCAGCTTTATCCATCAAGTCGAATACAACTCCAACACGGATCAACATCTGATAGCCAGAACAGCTTTTCCATTGCAGCTGTCCTGCTTTTAAACTTTCCCGGCTAATGTAGCCACGCCTACTGTACAATTATCAACCAATAAGGACCCCCCTGCAATCAGCACGTCATCGAAATATGGTACCGTGCCTGGCACCCCTCTGAGCAAACCTTCCATAAGTCCCTGGAAGATCCCTGGGGCAACATTTACCCCAAACTGGAGTCTATTGACCCTGAATGCTCCTCTGTGGGTAATGATGGTTTGGGCTTCCGCTGCCTCCCTAGTCACTGGCAGCTGCTGGTACGCTTGCGCTAAGTCAAGCTTTGTGAATACCTTCCCTCCCCCCAGGGATGCCAGAATGTGGCTAATGACAGGTACGGGGTAAGAGTGCTGTTGCAAGGCACGATTAATAGTGCACTTATAGTCAGCACAAATTCTTACAGACCCATCTGACTTTACCGGCGTCACTATTGGAGTTTCCCATTTGCTAAAGGGAACCGGCTCAAGCACCCCCTGCTCGATTAGCTTGTCCAACTCTGCTTTGATCCAGGGTTTGAGCGAAATGGGCATCTTCCGATACTTTAATCGGATTGGGGTCACTGAAGGATCAAGTTGCCCCTCCGGGGTTCTCGGTCCTCCATCAATCACAGACTAGGGGGCGGCGGGGGGAGGAGTGGCGTTTTTCATTCGGGAGGCTTACTCCTTCAGGGCGCTCCCGCAGGTAGAGATCGCGGGCATAGAATGTGTTGGCTTGCTGCTGGAAGCTGAGGAGAATTTGGCTATTTGGCTGGTGTACCGTCCACCTAACGCTCCGGCCGATAGCCTGCCATCCCTGCTGGAGGCCGTATCAGGCTGGGCGCTGGAGCACCCTAGACTGTTAGTCCTGGGTGACTTCAACGTCCATGCTGAGGACGCGACCTCCAGCCGGGCTATGGACCTAGTGTCGTCCATGGCGACGCTGGGACTCTCCCAGTCCATCTCGGCCCCCACGCATCGGGCCGGTCACATGCTCGATTTAATCTTTGCAGCGGGAGTTCTGGTGGACCGGATCACTGTTTCGGCAGTGCCATGGTCGGACCACCATGTCCTGAGGGCCTGTCTGAATGTCCCACCCCGACCCTGTTTAGGTGGCGAGCTGATTTTGGCTCGCCCACGGAGCCAAATGGACCCTATGCGGCTCCAGATGGCTCTGCGGGATCCAAGTCCCCCTGGCGGCGCGTTAGATGAGCTAGTGGAGGATTGGAACTCCCGACTCTCCTCGGCCATCGACGTGATCGCTCCCAGGCGCCCTCTCCGCACTCGCGGAAGGCGAGCGCCCTGGTATACCCAGGAGTTGCGCTCGCTGAAACGGGAACTGAGAAGGCTAGAGAGACGGTGGCGCCGTGCTTGCGACGAAGTGTCAAGAACATCCTATA